ACACCCATGTTAAAATGAATAAAACTTTTCTTATGAATTATATTTTATTTATATACCAAAAAATTGTTAAAAACAACTACTCTGGCGTTTTAAAGTATTATCTGATAAATACATTCATAATTTTGCTTTGAAAAAAAAAATAAAAATGTACTGAAAAGTACTGATTTTTTTAGCATGAAAAAGTCTAACGTACTGATTTCGCGCATACAAAATCTGGCAACCCTATGTCTGAAATGTCTCCCTCCGAGCGGTTTTGCGAAATATTATTCGACGAAATTTCTATTAAAAAAGATCTCGTTTACAATAAAAGTAGAGACATTATTGACGGTTTCGTGGATATTGGTGACGGTAATCGCGACCTCAATGTTGCCGACAAATGTGGTTTTTTCATGGTGTAAGCCATCGCGGCGGATTGGAAATATGTCCTTTCCTATTATATGGTAAAAGGCGGTATGTCGGCTTCAAGTCTTTTGAATTCCTTAACGGAAAATATTAAAACGGTTGAAGGCCTCAGCTTAAGCGTCAAAGCCATTAATGCGATCAAGGCCCAACCAACGTTCGTCTCTTTAAACTTTTAAATGTCTCCGCGGAAAGTCCGTCCTTTATTTTCAATGGAAAAAAATCCACTGTCTTTGCGACTACTTCCACTTGATTAAATCGGCTCGGAATAACTTATTAAAGCACGATTTAAAAACTATGGATGGCATCGCGAGCGGTAAAGTCATTCGTTAATTATATTCGGTAGATAAAGCCAATGTAAACTTCAAGGTATATCCTGAGCTTACAGCCAGTGTTGCCAACTTTTGATTTTCAAAAAGCACCAAAAACTTGTCAAAAAAGCGGTTTATCACACTAAAATCAAAAGATGCTTTTTTCATAACAGTTTGTATTTAACAAAAGCAAAAAATTATGAATATTTACAAGAATACATACATAAATCAATACACAAAATTTTTCGCTCATAACGATTGAATAGCCTCTACACATGCTATGATGACTCATACGTACGACGTAATATCGAAGTACTGCGCATTAAAACTGGCATATCTCGAGAAAGAAAAATCGAATCGCAACAAATGAAAATGATGCCATAAGTGGAAATGAGCAAAAAATTTTATGTTTTCATTATATAACCTCAAATGTCAAAATAATGTGTTTGTCGTAAACAAGGCGAATTCATTTTACAAAAATACACATCATTTTGGCATTCAGAAGGACTACGGCGAAATTCTAAATTCGCCAGTAATACCACCTTGTATAAATTCGCATTGATGTGGTGCAAGCGAATTTTGGGAAAGCGCTCATAGCCGTTTTTCATTTTCCTTTCAACGTTTAAAACATCTTGAGTAAAGTGTTTTGCACATGTTTCACTATATCCCTGGCTCTTTCATAGTCTCTAATGTTTTTTGCTTTATTTGAACTTTATTGTCATTATACGTAGTGACTTTGCAGAGAGATCAAGCAATTTATGAATCTTGTTACGGCCTCATTTCGCTGCCATGTGAAACATGTTTTTCGCACTCATGGATTTTCCTTCTACTGTCTTCCTATTCTATATAACCAACATTTCCTTTTTAAACAAAGTTTTGTTTAAGTCTCAAAGAGAAAAAATGAAAAATCACGTTACTTTTAATGACATTGAGCTCGTTCGCTTCCAAGGAAATTATTTCAGCATTATAATATACAACGAGATCACTTTTAGTGGAATGCTAGTTGAGATATCATAGTAGATTTTAGTATACTTAAAGCTGGTTTTCACTATGTCAAATTCAGTGGCATTTGCCGTCAAATAAGTGAAAACACATTGTCAAATGGGATCAGAATGCGGTTTATCGATTGATTTGGATCAGGATAGGTCTTTAGTCGTGTACATGCGCTGCGAAATCGGTTGTATGTCAGTTTTTGGCCCATAATATCATCGGCAAAGGTATGGATAAAGGAGATAAAGTTGTGTCAAAATATGTCGCCAAATTTTGGCGTCAAAATATGACATAGTGAAA